TGACCTCCAGCAAGCCACGTGCCCGCCAGGCCTGTGTTTCCTAAACAGTAAAACAAGGTTTATGGAAACGCTTACCTCACCGTTTAAGTTCAAGGACAGCGCTGGGACTTGTAGTGGCAAAGTGTTGCACGTGGCCTCGGCAGCATGCTAAGCTGTATCAAGTACCCCTCTGCTGCCTCGCTCTTCAGTCTCACAGAGCACAGTGACATGCCCAGGAACGCGTGCGGAAGCGGACACGCGGAAGCGCTACGTTTCCGTAAGCCAAACGGCGTTGCTGTCGTGCATCTGACAGATGCAGCTGCCGGCCCGGTGCAGAGGAGGAAGGCTCTGACAGCCAGCACGGCGCATCTGGGGCGGCTTCGGGAGGCAGGACCACCATCTCCTTAATCACAAAATCATAGAATCGTTTAGGTTGGAAAAGACCTTTAAGATCATCCAGTTCAACCCTTAACCCAGCACTACTAAGTCCACACTAAACCAATTAAACCAATTAAGGGTAGAGTAGACTAAACCATTAATGTAACTTTCTTCATTTTAGGTTCTACCAAATGTTTCGGAGCTCTACTTAAATGACGTCCCTCCAGTCCCCACCTTGGCAGACATTGTGTGGATAGCAGCAGATGATGAAGAAACGTATGCCAGAGTCAGGTTGGTTCCCTCCTTGTGTCTGCTGATCCTTATTTTTATACGCTGGTTTATTTCATATAGCATAGGCCAGGCACTGATCAAATGCTCACAACTTCCAGTCCTGTCGAGATCTGATGTGGTGGTGCCTGTTGAAAGACATTTTTCCCAAGAGACAGGGAAAAAAAAAAATTGGACAAAGGACCCTGGCAATTCCCATAGGAAGTGCTAAGAGCCCGTGCCCTGCCGTTTTTTACTCATTGAAAGATCTGTGCAGAGTAACCCCCCTGATCCATGGTATTTTCTGGTGCTGTGGTTTAACCCCAGGCAGCAGCTCAGCACCACACAGCCGCTTGCTCACCCCCCTGCCCCAGTGGGTTGGGGGAGAGAATCGGAGGAGTAAGAGTGAGAAACACTCCTGGGGTGAGATAAGAACAGTTTAATAATTGAAATAAAGTAAAGTAAAATAGTAGTAGTAATAATAACAGTAATAATAATAATGTACAAAGCAAGTGATGCCTAATGCAATTGCTCACCACCCGCCGACCGATGCCCAGCCAGTTCCCGAGTAGCGATCGCTGCTCCCCAGCCAACCCCCCAGTTTCTATCCTGCCCATGACGCCGTATGGTATGGAATGGCCCTTGGGCCAGTTTGGGTCAACTGTTCTGGCCGTGCCCCCTCCCAGCTCCTTGTGCCCCCGGCAGAGCATGGGGAGCTGAAAAGCCCTTGACTGGCGTAAGCACTGCTCAGCAACAACTACACCATCAGTGTGTGATCAGCGTTATTCTCATCCTAAATCCAAACCACAGCACTGTGCCAGCTACTAGGAAGAAAATTAATGCTATCCCAGCCGAAACCAGGACATTTGGTTAGAAAGTTGAAGAGTTGAATTCTCCTGGGATTGAAATGTTTGGTTCTGGTCAGTTGAGCTTTTGCCCTTAAAGCAGGGCAGTAGTAATAGGTGTCTTGTGAAAGATAAAATGGACTTTGAAATCAGGCAAAAGTTAACAGGTAAGGACATTTCCCATGTGTACCCAGCGCACTGCCCGGCATGGAGACGCAGTTACCAGGAGAGAAGTGACTTGAAACCACGTGAGCACGCCCAGACTTTTGTCCCTGAGCCCTCTCCCCACATCTTGTGCCATTGGGTCATGATTTCTGTTCCTTGTAGCGCAGAGAGCACGTACAGCGAGCGCGTCTATACGGTGGTACGTATGGTGGTGCGTACGGCGGCGTGGCGCAGAGGCTTAATTCATTGTGTTGGAAGTCTGCTGCTGTCCTGAGGTGGAGGCACGGAGGGGCCTGGGCCATGTAAATGACCAACAGGTTTGTGTCCTGCAGAAGTGACACTCGCCCGCTGAAGCACAAGTGGAAGCCGAGTCCCTTCACCGTTATACAGCGAAATGCTTCAGTCCCCAACCTGAGGAAGCAGGAGGAGAAGCTGCTCGCCTTGAAGAAACCTGGTTTACCAGCACTGAGCCGAACAACAGAGCTCCAGGATGAGCTGAGTCACCTTCGGAGTCAGATAGCTAAAATAGTCGCTGCAGAGTCAGGTAGGAATAGAATGAGCTTTTCTTTGTTGAGCGAGAAGGGCTGAATTAGTGAACTGTGTTACTTCCTCCACGCAGAGCAGACTGGCACGTTTCTCCAGCAGAGCTGTGGCTCCCGTTGGTGAGATGCCGCCTTTGGCGTCAGCTCAGCGCTGGTTCTGCATTTAGCTGTTTGCTTCTTTCGCTGGAGGAGTCCTGCTTGTTTTTAAGAAATACCAAATGCTCCTTTGTTGACTGCATTTGCTGCATTTGATCTGGAGGCCAACTCTCATCTCGAGCACCGTGTTTCATGAAAACATTTGGTGTATTCTTGCCATTCCTGCTCCGAGTCAGCCATGCATCTTGATTTGGGTTACATCTTGATTTGGGTGGGAATGAGGTGTTAGTGTTTGTTTCTTCTGTGCAAACGACAGTGCCATTTCTGTAGCAAATGAGGTATTTGGGGAAAAGCCTAGCTGAACTGATTTATTTATTTCTTTTAGTAAATTTGTACGCAACTAAAAGCCATGTTTCAGTCGCAAAAGTGAACAGTGAGGAAAGACTTCTCTTCCTTTCACGGTTTTTCCTGTATACTCAAGCTCTGAAAATATGAAGACATTTGGTAGAATCCAAACCCAGCGGTTCTGCAAGGCTTGCTGGAACAGTGGCTGGTTTAGAGTGTGGAAACTAGTCAGATAAAAATACCTTGGTATCTATTCATGGAGGGTTCAGAAGGCAGAGTTGTTGATCTCCCAGCTCAAAAACATTGAACAGTTTTGCAAACTAAAGGAGTTTAGTCCTTCTTGAAGACAGTTTTTCTGAAAAGGTGCGTTTCTTGTATGCAGAATACTTTTGCCAATAACTAAGATGGCAGCTGTATTACGGCTGCTTTCCAGAGGAAAAGGAGGACCTGTAACTCTTCCTATTACTTTAAAAAAAAAAAACCCAACAGCAGGATTGTGCCACACTTGAAATGATATCAGGCGCGTTAGTTCCTGTTTATGATGGGTAGTAGTGGCTGATGAAACCTTCCTTATCCTGCATCTGAAAGCAAAAATTTTTCTTTAATTCCCAGATTACTACTTTGTGCTGCGCTGCATAGCGTGTGCATGAGACCAAATCTCTCATGATCTGGGAAAGGCGACGTGGTTGTCTGATTAGTGTGGCCCCAAGGGACTTGCAGCTTTAATGACTGCTTATATTTAGTCCAGCTCTCTGCGAGCCGTAAACGCATTTGAACACAAAGCAGAGTTGTGGTGGTTGATTTAGTTGGAACGGTGGTTTCTGCGTGAGAGATTTGGGGTTCTTTTTCAGTTCCGTGTGGTGGTCGGTGGACTGTAAGAATCGGTTTGATATCAATAGTGTAAATATATATGCCACCACGTGAGAATATATACGATGTTTTTAGTGTGTGAGGCTGTATTTAGCTGAGCTAGTTCTTCACTTCCGTGGCAAAGGGCTGTTGTGAGGTGATGCACGTGCCGGCATTTCTTGTCACTTTGGTCCTGTCACAGGACACAGACGTGCCTCGACTCTTACAGCAGCGTGGTAAAATGAAGCCGCTCCGGGGGTGGGGGAGCCGTGTTTCCCTCAACTCTGCAGGGAATAAGCGTAAAACAAGGCATCGCAGGTGTCCCCTTCAGAGAGGCTGCCTGCGTCCTCTTTCTTCTTTTGTACAGAGGAACAACCAAAGTGAAATAAAGAACAGGGGAAATTCTGTGATTGATTTTTTTTTTTTCCTTCTAAGTTCTGTCTCAGCTCGACAGTTGCTCAAGCTGTGTGCTAGAGAAGTCCATTTTAATTCAGGGAGAGTAATAATGAGGAAAATTAGAGATCCAGATGGGAGAAAAATGATTTAATCATTTAATACCTTTTTCTCTCGTGCTCTACTCAGCAGCATGCCTGGTTGTTATCAGCTGGCATTTGAGAACAGCGCATATCGACTTCGCGTCCTCTAAGTCAATAACGGGGAGCTGTGATTTAGGGCCTAGCTGTAGCTCGGTAATCTGATGGAGGAGATAACTGTTTAGCAGGCTTATTTTAGAAAGATTGATGTCAAAAAAGAAATATTGTGCAATCTGCTTTATTATATACTGTTAGAGAAATCCCTTAATTGGAAATTGATAACTATCTACAAGTTTACTCCTGAGGCCAAGGGCTTTAGTGCGGTACGGTACACTTTGTTTTCCATACAGGAAGGTTCTTTCAAGGAGATGTGCACTAAGCATTTTTCTGGATTTTTGGTTGTTTTCCATTAGTGTTCTACACTGGAAATATCCTAACTCATTTTCACTTGATAACACTCAGAATTCATATAGCTGTTCTTATCCTCACCGCATTTTAACACGTGAACAAATAAATCCCATCTTCCCTGTGGAATAGGTGGATGCTGTTCTCATTTTACAGATGGCGATGGAAAGCAAAACAGGTCAAAATGCCTGCAGTCACAGAGTGATTGCTGTGACCCTCTAGAGTAAAACGCTGGAGCTCCTGAGCCAGCTCTGCGTTCTCCCCAGGCATAATGGTTAGGGGGGAAGGAGCCTGAAAGGAAAAGAAGGGCAAGCAGTTCTCAAGGCAATGAAGAAAAAGAGGAGGAAAGTTAAGACAATTAAGACCTATTAAATGACACGGGCTTCCTCCCTGACCCCGAGCAGCAACTAAATCTCTGCTCCTCCATTTCTTATCTGTAAACATGGAAAAAGTAAACAGTGCCTGACTTCTGCAGGGAGGGGGTGCAGTGTTTGAACTGGAGGGGTGGTACGGTGGTGAGCACCATAGGAATGGAGATGCGTAAGGGGGTTGGTGGGATAAAAGGGGGGAGAAGGTGGGAGAGGAGGAAGAGGTGGGAGAAGGTCTTGTGTTGCAAGATGGAGTCACAGGAAGCAGAGTGGACATGGAGGGTAACAGAGAATATGACGGATTTGTTTTCTCATAGCATGAGGGAGGCTGGCTGATGGTGCCACTTGATTTATATTCTGTTGTTTTGGGGAAAAAAATACCTACATGGTTTGGCATTAGTTTATCTATCCACCTATCCTGTTTTCTTTTTCAGCTTCTGCTTCGTTAACACCAGATTTATTATCTCCAGGAAGTTCAAATGCATCTTCTCCTTTACCTTGTTTTGGACCCTCTTTCCAATCTACAACTTCCTTTGTCATTAGCGATATCACGGAGGAGGAGGCAGAACTCGAAAGCCCCGAGCTCCCGTCAGTCTCCATGCTTTGTTCTGCAACCTCCGAGTGTTGTAAACCAGAACCAAAGGATCCTGACGAGGAAGATTCTGTGTCTCTCTCGAAGGCCAGCAGTTTTGCAGATATGATGGGCATTCTTAAAGACATCCATAGGATGAAGCAGAGCAAAGACTTGTAAGTGCTTCCTGAACTCTCTTGATTTTATCTCTTTTTTTTTAATCTGTCAAATCATTGTAGACACCAGACATGGCATTCACTGCTTGTTTGGTGCTGCTTTATATCCATGATTCACAGCGGGGAAATACCTGTTTATAGCAGAACTTGCTAACACTTAACATTTCTGGGCGGTTTTATTAATGATGGCCTGGATAGAAAGCAATGGAGGGGAATTTAAACCCATTAGCACAATGTTTGGCTGCTTCAACTTGGCCACCTGAGAAAAAGCTTGCGCTTGCCCAGATGAAGACCAGAACCGTGTGTACTGGCAACCGTCAGGGTGAGGGCCACACCGCGCTCTCTGCTTGCGGTGGTTCCAGGTGCTGGTGCGCAGACCGAGCAGTTGGGAAGCTCAGCAGCTTTTTCAGCCTGGCACATGCAGGAATTCACACGCAGAGCTTTTCGGCTTCTCAGCTTTTGCATCTGGCCCAGCTCTGAGCGTGGGCAGAGTGAGTTTTCACTTGTCTCGTGATGGGTTTACGCACTGATCATGAGAATGCCTCGAGCTGCTGACAGGCCAGCTGCTGTACAGCAGGGTTCTGCCCCGCTGATGAAGTGGCTTCTTTCGCGTTAGCTGTACGGCTTCTTTTCACATATGAAATCACAGTGATAAAGTTCAGTTTCCACAGTTTTCAGCCCAAGGATCTCTCCAGCCATTATGTTGTGCGAGTAAGATTCCTGGCCAAAAATACCATGTTGTGTGATGGCTGTTCGCAATTTCTATGCCTAATTCAGTTTAAAAGAAATTAAATTCTCAGCACTGAAAAAATTATATAGTCAAATGAGAGAAACATGTTCAGCTTGCATCCAGCATGCCAGTACAGTGTTACGCATCCATAATTCACACAGTGTAGCCTTTTGCTCTTGTTTTCCTAACACTACTCAAAGCTTAAATGCTCACTTGCTTTATATAAATGCCTGTAATCTTTCTTGGGGGTGCATAGAATTCATGGACCACAGATGAATTGCTCCTCTTCTTTCTTCCTGTCTGTTGCAAAGCAGTGTTTTGAGCATCCAAAAATAATTCTGAATTATTAGTCAAAAGGAGAGAGAATTCTCAAGAAAAATACCTGCTGCTGTGTGCGGCTCGGCCACGTTGGCTCAGCAGAGGTTTGGGTTAGGCTTTAGGCAACTTACTGCCAAGACTAGAACTGTGCCATTCTAATGGTTCTTCAATTAAATATTAAATCCAGAAAAGCTTGCAGGTGTTTCATGTTGTGACGTGGAATGTTTTAGCTTTATCAGAAAGGCTTGTACCTCTAGGACTAAGCATTCACATGTGCAAATGTAATTACCAGTCTTCTAATTAGCGCAGACTGGTATGTCAGCCTTCTATGGAAGCAGACTTTTCAGGGTAAGAAAACTGCCACCACCTGTGCCAGGTGAAGATAGGGAAAAAAAAATCAGGGGAAAAAACCTTGTACAAATCCGGGTTGTGGCGGGGAAATGGAGGCGTTTCTTACCCACGCCTGGCTGTGCCACCAAGGCTGCTGCCGGCGCTGCCCGAGTCACGAGGAGCCTGGTGCTGCCTGGGGGTCCACTGTGAAAAGCAGCATGTAGGTGACAGGGAACGTCGCGATATAGCGGGTCACAACTGTACTTGAATTTCCTCGACAGAACATATGAGAACAACTAATAATGGATGAAGGTGTTTGATCTTGCTGTCCCCCTGGGAGAGAAGCTGTGTGAGCGAGTGGGAGGGAGAGCTGGCTTGTGCACAGAGAGGATTTACTGACAGCGTCGATTCTTTTTAAGGTTGCAGGAGATGGGGGAGAGCAAGGCTTTTGTACTCTAGAATACTTGGGGGGATGGGGACAGCTGCCAAATCCCTCCTCGCTGGGGTGCAGTACAGGGACCCCTTTCTCCCCTTGCGACGGCTTGACTGATTAGCCGGGAGCTGGGGCATGCTGCTGCTCACGTCAAGGCTAGGAACGCTTCGGTAGAAAAGCTGGAGACTGTTTCTTGCTGGAGCTGAACTGTTTTCCTCTTATCTCTTTCTCTCAGCCTCTAACTCTGCCTCCTGCATGCAACAGTGATGGTTTAGGATACAGTTATTACAGCTTAAAGCTGTTTGAAGAATCTGAGGTAGTTGAAAAATGACATTAAATAAATCACTGATGTTCATTACTCGATGAGCTTTAATTCCTAGACACGGTCCCCTAGTGTCGATGCAGCTGTGAGCAGCCCCATGCTTCTACAGCTGCGCTCACCTCGCCACGTGCCGTGAGCTTACACAGAGCAGTTGTGCGCGCGTAGGCGCGCAGCACTCGCAACACCTAAAAGGCTCGTGTACTTTTTACGCGGATGAAGGTACCAAATGATGCTTAACGCACTAACTACATCGATGCTTCTCTGATGCTCCTATTTAGGACTTGGTGCTTAAACACAACCTTGGAAGCTTCAGGAATGCGTGAGAAACGCTTGCAGAATGTGCATGTTTCACCAAATGTGAAATAGAGCCTGTTACAGTGTCTGTGGTGCCCTCTGCGAGGGGAGTGGCTGGGCGCTGTGCCTGCCGGGCCACGCGCCCGGTGTGGGGTTAAGGACAGGTAGCGTGAGGAACCGCTGGGACTGTGAGTACACGTTCACTTGTAAGTACTGCTGTTACGGGACTCAACAACTTAATTTTGCCGTGATTATTTCCTTGGCCCTTCGAGTGGCTGTAAAGGGCTGAGACGCTGACATTGAAGGCTGGCGCTCCGCTGCTGGTCGCGCCTCGCTGGAGGACACCGTACCCCTTGGGGTGTTCCTGTCCTCACCCCGGTGCGGGTTATCTGTCTCTTCGCTCATCCTGGGAGAGCTTTGCCTTGTGAGCAGCACAGCTCGGGGCTGCATCAGCGCTGTCCCTCCGCACCGCTGGTAGCGTCGCCGCTGCCTCTGGCTGCTTCCATTTCCCCCCCCGTCCCTCTTCCGAGGCAGCCGACGGACGCGTGGCAAATTCTCAGGTTTGCCCATGTGGAAGGAAGGGTTTGGGGAGGGCTCCCTGTTTTTTATTCCGCACCCTTTTCAGAAGGAACGGTTCTGTCTGGATGAAGTCAAAGGCATGTTTCTGGCTACAAAATCATCTTTTAAACAGTGATGCATTTATGCAACTGGAAGTTAAGAACTTGCGCCAGCTAACTCCGACATAGTGCTAAGGGTTACCTGTGAGCAGCTCAGTGGCATCTTACGCAGCATACTAAAAGCCTTCGCTGTTCCTTTGAGAACAACCCCTTCCCAAACACATAAGGAAATACGGGGGGGGAGGGGGGCAGATTTTTTTTTCCTTTTAGGAATATTTAAAACACCCATAATGTTTTCTGACCAAGGGAGGACTTCAGCTATTTAAAAAAAAAAAAAAAAAAAAGTTAAGGTCTGAAATTATTACAGGTTCTAAACAAAACCTTAATGAGCAAATTCATGATACCTGAGGAAAAAGAACTGGGTTTTGGCTTCCTGTAAAATAAGCTCACTAACACTTCTAACGTGCACTGCTCCCCTGAACTTGCTGAAGGAGGCGGGATGCTTTGGTAATGGAATGCTACAGAAAAACTCGTGTGCAGTAGCTAAGTGGAGGGAAATGTCTACCAGCCCACCTTTAAAATACCTGTAATTACCCATATTTAAATATGAAAGCATGTATGTGTTGTACAGCAAAATTCATTAAAAAAAAAAAAATACTTCCAGGACTTCAACTCAAACACCGCTTGTAGATTTATATTGAGGGGACATAGGCTGTAAATAATAAACGAAGTTTTATTTTACTTACTTGTTATTAACACAGTTGAATGAAAATTACAAAGAGCTTTGCTGCTGAGATTTTTCAGGATACCCCTTGATCCACAAAACGAGCTCCAGGTTTTCTAAGCCAACATGAAAGGTGCATTTTTAACTACTTTTTGTTGGTTTGTGGTGGTGGTCTTGCACCTCCTCCACTTGCGACAAAAGCTGATGATAAAGGCTGCAGAAAAATACTTAAACGACTCCAACCAGAGCTGTAAACCGTTAATTTTGGCACTTCTCTTCGCTAATACACTGCGCTTTTTGTCTTGCATGTAGAAGCCGAACTTCAATGAAGGAGGAGGACCCAGCCATTCTTATAGCAGAAGTTCTGAGAAGAAAATTTGCCCTAAAGGATGAAGATGTGGTCCTGAAGGAGAAATGAAAGGGATGAAGATCTGGCCCTGAAGGAGAAATGCTGTTACGGTCATTAAACCCTGTAAGCAAAAGTGTTACGCTCCCAAAATTTTCTCCACAGTAGCTGCCTTCCTAAGGCTTGAGCCTTTTGCCTCTTTTATTAATTAGAAATGGTTTCTGCACTGGACACTTACTTAGGAAAGACCCGGTGGATTTGATGTGTTTTCCATGTATTGTTATATTTAAGAAAAAAAAAAAAAAAAAAAACTTTTTAAGATGGAAATTCTTTTCCACCTGTATTTTGATGTTGATTATTGATAAGGATCTGCTGAAGAGTGCAGTGAGTGTTGCTGGGTGATGTTCTTTCTACCTACAATTTTCCTTAGGTTCAAGTTAAGCATTAACTTGTAACGGCCTCATTACAGTATAACCAGTTACCATTTCCAGTGTAAGCGGATGGCACACATCCAGTTCTTTCTCTGTTCTGAGGATGGTACAGAGCTACTGAGAATAAGCTAATGAACGCTTCCAGGTCTTCAGTGTTAGGCGGTTGTTGAATCACGGCGGTAAAAGGCGTCTTCCCGGTCACTCTGTCCCAGCCACTGGCAG